TGGGACTTCCATTATTTAAAAGAACCAAATCATTCTCTTCTATGATATCTATTAAATCTCTGCCCCGGGAGTCTATACTAGCGCAGCCCCATACTGTATGATGTGCATTAAAATCGCCGGCTAATATCATAGGTTTAGAAATAGATTTTATCAAGTTCACCAGTTTTAGCTTACTGAACGAAGGGTTAGAGCGAGGTGGACAATAAAAACTGACTATATAAAGAGACTTATTATGTATTTGAATTTTAATGCCTATGTTTTGTATTGATGAATCAGAAAAAGTTGTAATGTTTTGAAAGTAAATGCTGTTGTGTATTATAATAGCCACTCCATTGTGATTGTTACCAGAATCATTTCTAACTACAGTGTAACCTCTAATATCGAACTTTATATTGGGTTTTAACCAAGTTTCAGAAATTAATGCAATATGTATTTGATGATCACTAAGAAATTGTTTTAAAACATTTTTGTTATGTGTAATACTTTGAGAATTCCATTGCATTATATTTATGCTATTAAAATTGAATTATAAAATAAAAAAAATTGAAGCTTGTATGTAATTTCTTAGTTATTTAAAATAAATATGTAAGTATCATGTTTTACTGTTTTGTAATGTAGTTTGTAGAATATCAATAATATTTTGAGAATTTATAGCCATATTCTCTGTTTTGTTTAAAGATATAATTTTCAGTAAAGATTCTGTTAATAAGCCTAAAAATTTTTTATCTGTGATTATTTTGGTCATGTCTTGGGGTGATTGTGTCAAAGAAGGAAAATTATTCTCATTAAATAATGAATTATATGGTCTTTGAATAACTTTATTTTTGTTTTCTATAATTTTTTTCTGTTTTGTTGGACATTTACCAGAAATAGCGATGTGATTCCCTTTGCAGTGAATGCATAAAGCCTTGTCTACACTGACAGTGCACGTCTTGAAGGAGTGACCTTCACCACAAATTGAGCATCTTTCAGAGTTTTTACAAAATTTTGCCAAATGGCCGTACCTTAAACAGCGGAAACATTGCTTAACAGGAGGTACGTACGGCAATACCGGCAACCTCCACATCTTCAGAAAAACATAATCAGGAAGAGATGTTGAGCTGGCAAAGGTTATAGCAACAGTCTGAGTTGGCTGCAAAGAAACAATATCATTATCCTTAATGCGTTTCATTATACGTCGTACACTTATAATTTTCCTAGTGTTTAATGACAATGCCTTAAAAATGTTTTTGTTTGACATATCTACTGGAACTGAGGTAATGACCCCCGTCAGCTCAGTAGATGATGCCGGTATTGTCGCAGTAATATCCTGGTCCTTTAAGAATGACGCATTATCTAAAAAGGCATTTGCTAAATTAGGTTTGTCAAATACTACGCCTACTTTAAACTTGTTTACTTTTTTTAAATATTTTATACCCTTAACAAATCTCTGAAAGCAACCACTGAGACTCAGCATATCGCGGGTACCAATTGGTTTCTTTTCGTCGTTGCAGCTAACAAAAACAATATATTCGTGCCCTGCGACACTATCTTCTGGGTATCTGCGGTTGTAATCAGACACTATGTAGGGTTTATATTTATTTAGATCTGACTCTTTTAAGTCAGAATCATCATCGCTAGATGAAAACAGCGACCTAATCTCGTCATCAGGAGGCTTTTCCCTGTCCTTTTTTTTCCTTTTGGACATTTTGCCGGTAATACAACAATAAAAGTAAGAAAAAGTAGATTAGACAACAATATCCTAAAAACTAATTATTAAAACAATGAAACTATATACAAATGTGCAGAAAATGCCTTCAGAGGCTAAAAAATTATGAGAAATAGCAAAAAATTAAAATAATGAAAAAAATACCGCCCTTCCAGTTTGGAGTTCCCGCGCTCTCCGTAAGCTTCTTGCTCTTCACCCTCCCACCACAGAGGCAGTCGCGATCTCTACTGGGCTGAGTTCCAAACCTACGCTCCGAGTACAAAACATTTCACTCTGACTTATTTTGCTTGACTTATATGAAACATAGGTGTCAATTCTGTCATGATTTTCTAAACTTAATACTAAATCTAACATCGATCTCTCATTTTCATTCTGTAAAGGGAATGACAAGGATACAGTGATGTCGATTCTAGCATGATTCTCTAAACCTAAACTTAAATTTGACAGCAGTATATCCTTGTCATTCTCTATACAGAATGAAAAGGAGAGACTGATGTTAAATTTAGTTTTAAGTTTAGAGAATCACGCCAGAATTGGCACCACTGTTGTTAAATTTAACTTTAGGTTTAGAGAATCATACCAGAATCGACACCATAATATGTCAAACATCAGGGTTGTAGGCAAAACCATGCGCTCTTGGTGCAACAAATAATGTTAAAGTTGAGAGTGGTGTCGATTCTGGCGTGATCCTCTAAACTTAAAACTATATATAACACCAATCTCTCCTTTTCATTCCGTATAGAGAATGAGAAGGATACGCTGTTGTCAAATTTAAGTTTAGGTTTAGAGAACCGTGTCAGAATTGACACCATTGGCTTCATACATGAAATATCAAAATTAAAACGTCAGGGTTAAAAGTTGCACTTAGTGCGTAGGTATTTAATGGAGCCTTAGAGTGTAAGTTTGGAATGAAGCACGTAGACTGCCTCTGTGCGTAGAGAGTTCTCTGTCTACGCCTCTGTGTGTGAATATCCATGATTTTACATAAGAGTCCTAAGTAAAATCATGGATATTCTAACCAACAAGCCTTGTCAGGCTCAGGCCGGACTTTTGTTTGCCGAAAAAACGGGTCTAGCGAAAGACACACTATGAAGCTATCTGTCACTGTCTTTTAAGGTCAATGTCACAAACTATATATGTATTGTAGTGATGCTAGCGCATGTGAATGAGGTGAACCTCTGAATAAGAGTGGTGAAAAGAATATTTTTATTTAAAGTGAAACAGGAAGCCCTTGTTACTTTCTTAAAATCATGAAGTTATATATTGGAATCTCCAAAGATGGAACTTTTTTAAAACTACAATATACGAGAATTTGATTTTTGAATAATCTCAATTACTATACTTATAGTCCTTGTATAGAATCAACAAAGAATTCTAAATCCCAAACTAACCGATTAACACAGTTTAAGCATTTATTGGTGGTAAGTATGTAATTACAACCTCATCGATATTCAAATGTATAGCCCGTGATGTTACTAATTAAATGAATATTATTCACAATTCAGAAAATCTTTAAAACTTAACTATAGTTTGTCTATAAAGTCGTGACATTAAATGATGGAGCCTCTAGTATGCATGTAGCAACCCTATACAGTCGGACCGAAATGATTTTGATACTAGCAGTTCATTCAAGTAAAATAGGTAATTAAAAAGACACACTATACAGTCGTATTTTGTTTATGTTTTATATATAGTAGGTACCTATGCTTATAAAAAGTTTAGCCAATCATATTTAATTGAATCAGAATAAAATTATTATAGATAAAATAGTACTTTATAGTGTAAAAGTGTGTAATGTTGGTGATTACCGCTGAGGTGCCATTGAGACCAGAGCCGTTAGGTAATCATCAATACACACAAGTATCCTCATACGACGTTTTTTAACACACTTGTAAAGAAAATAATACTAAAAATCATTTTATAGTATATAAAAAGTTTATTTAGAGAAACAATTTGTAAATGTGCAGTTAGTAAAATTAGTCATAGGTATCTTCACTAAAAGCATCTGGCCATTGTTCTTCATGTGACCATTTCTTTCTTTGGTTGGTCTTGCCTGTTTTCCCAGGAGTTTCAAACTTTCCATCATTCTTAAAACATTCGTTGACTATCCCGACTCTCTGATTTTCCTGAAAAAAAATATGTAACGGAATAGAAACAATAACTTATTGACATAAAGCAATTAATTCAAAATTGGTAGAAAACCTGACCGAGTTGAACCATAATAACGTATCAAAAGAAATGGTCGTACTACAATATTACCTATTTACAATGTCAATGGTGTCGATTCTGGCGTTATTCTCTAAACTTAAAACTAAATTTAACATCAGTCATTCTGTATAGAGATTGACAAGGATGCACTGTTGTCAAATTTAGGTTTAGCTTTAGAGAATCATGCCAGAATCGACATCAATCTAACCTAAAACTGTGCAATGTAAACAATGCCTTTTTTGGTCTCAAAATCATAAATTGAGTAAATTTGTAACTTCAGGCAGATTACAAACAAATAGTTACACGATTACATACCCGTCATAGATGCTGTTCGCCCATAAACATCATCCAAATCCCACAAAAATCGTCCAGCTTGGTAGTCTTCGAAATATCGCTGGAAAACTTTAAAAATCTCTTCCCGCGTGCCACTCCGATTTACTTTACTCATTTTAATACCTTTCTGCGTAGTTTCGTCTTAATTTATTACAGTTTAATCCAAACAATAAAAAATACAAAAGGATAACTGTTCCACAACTGAAACTCGGTGACAGCTGATGTACATAAGTTTGGTGTTGCCAGACACATGAATAATGTTAGTTCCTTAAACATTCATGTCACGACTTTACCCTACATATATATTATATTTACCCTACTATACACAAACTTGTAATTATACAATCTTCCTATTGCTGACGCCATGCTGAGTATAGGATAGGGAGATTGGGCAATGCATGACTCATCACACGTCTCCAGTGTGGTTTGGTTAGTGCTAATGACTGCAGATACAACCGGGATGAATGGGTTAATGTGGCTTCTGAAGCACTACTGAAGAAGCAGGCTCGAAAAATAAAATTTTGGTTACCCATCTTAAGACCGGTGCTAAAGTTACTTTACTTCCACGATCTTTTTTATAGGCATGAATGACCTTGAACCATGAATTTCTTGGTTAATTTAACAAAGTGATTGCGACATGAGTGTGTGTACATTGTTAGGAAATTTCCAATTAGGAATTCCCAGATCAATAAAAAAATAATTTATTGAGAATTAATTTTATTTAAAAAACACATTCGCATAATATTAGTAGCTAATCTTGAAACTGTAAGGGTGGAGTTAAGATAATATTCTCAATATTTCCTCTTCCATTTTCAATGTCTTTATCAATTTCATCAACCGTCTCTCTTATTAAACCTTCGTCATCAGTTTCGATTAATTCAGTAGAGAAATCCTCTATAATTTGAGTAAGAGCTTCTGCTATGTCTGAATCGCTACTTATGGTCTCAGTATCTGCATTAGTTTCATTATTTGATACATTTTCAATAACCGAAATAATTTTTGATACTTCGCATGTATTAGAATTTTTAGGAACATTGGTTTCGGTAAGATTTTCAGCAGCTGTTGTATTAATTTCAATTACGGGCAGTACACTATTAAAATCAAAAGCATCGTTTTCTTTATCCCTTGAATCGTTTAATTCCGTATCTTCGACGTTATTTACTATTTTATTTTTATAAAGCATACAAGTAAGCAATTCATTCGAGCATTTTACTGTATTCAAGTGATGTTGCGCAAAACTGATATTTACATCTTCAGTATCGACACTATTGCAGTCCGTTAAATATTTCTCATTATTGTTTAATGAAAATTGATTCAGAGAGTTTGCTGCAGTTTGAAGTTCTTCCATTCTTAATCTTACGTTAAAACCATAATTTTCTCTACTACTATTAGAAATTATATTCGAAGTGTTAACATCTTTAGGCTTATTTTCTTGATTTTTGAGTCTTGCAATAACACTTGGATTATCATTTTTAAAGTCTTGTAAAATCTTTGCAGAGTTAAGTTCATTGTTATGAATTCGACGTTCTCCTTGAAATTTTGCATTTAATTCATAAAGCAGGTAATCGTCACTTTCACGTGAAAAATTAAAATCTTGAGACTGGAAGACAATCATAATAGGGGAATTAGGGATAACAGATCTATCATTTTATTTCACACACAGTAATGCAACAATAGGTTAACAAAAATAAGTTACTTTTCTAGTTTTGATAATTATTTCTGCCAATTCCTCTGCTAAGTTAACTGTTTCTTCCGCTAAGTTAGTTTTGGATGCTAAAGATAGTCCATAATGTTCAACTTTAGTAATTCCAGGAACTATTCTGTGTTCGTAAATTAAACGTTTCTGTACGACTTCGCCGTTTGTTATTTCTTCTTCTTTTATTGCAGTATGGTAACTAAAATTTTGCACAAGTAAATTTAGTTTACCACTCTTGTAATAATATATTCTAATACTTCTGTACTTACTTTACCACGTTGAAATATAAATCCTGCAATCTAGTCAAATACATGAAATGAGTTGTAAAAAAAGTGAACGCGTCGCTCTTAAGTAATTCTTCACAAATGGCCCAAGCCATACTCGTTCCTTCTTCACTTGATGTTCCCCTAATAACAAAAGTATTAGTTAACTACTTCACTAGGTATTCATTTAATAAAACTAAAATTTTAGACCTATGTGTCCTTACCTGCAAAGTTCATCTATTATAACTAAACTTTGCCTTGTTAATCCTTTCAAAATATGTTGAACTTCTTTCATCTAAAAATAAGATTTTACTTTTTTTAAGATACAATACCTTATGTTTAATATTAATAGTTATCTTTTTAATAAAGTTCATTTACATTATAAATAATTCTTATGTAAGAAATAGGTAAACGTACTTCTAGTACATAAGTTGAAGCATTGAGCTCAACACTGTCATTGAAACCGATCCTAGAGAATATCCGATCGCTTATTCGAATGATGGCGTTGGTGGTCGGCAAGAAACATCCCAACTGCAAAAGAATTCATACTTAAAATGTAAAGGCTAATTGTAAAACTTTAACTTTATCCATGAAGTCCTTGATATCAAAGCTACAAAAAAGTCGTGTCAAACCAATGTGATTTATGTTATCTCCCAAACTATGAAATGAAAATTGATTCTAACTGATGGAGGGTCGCGGAAGGAGAAAATGTTACGCAATTAGGTATTTCTCAGATATTGAGACATAATCATACGTGTTTAAAAGCATAGGTACCATAAATTAAGTCATGAGTTAATGCGAAGCTCATTTTAAAAGTAGCAGAAGCCTAATAAAGCACGTTACAAGTAAGTTATAAAGTCCTATTGATACATAATCATACGTGTTTAAAAGCATAGGTACCAAAAATTAAGTCATGAGTTAATGCGAAGCTGATTTAAAAGTAGCAGAAGCCTAATAAAGCACGTTACAAGTAAGTTATAAAGTCCTATTGGGAGCCTGGTATACGCTTATGGCCATATCACACTTAGAGAATACTAAGAAGGGTCTAAGTACTTTTATTCCAAAAAATTGTATTGATGGGGAAAATTAGCTCAGTACTTTAAAAATAATATCTAATTGAGCCAAGTATGTATCACCTGCGCCATTACTTGTATAATAGCAATTTGTTTTATAAAAATGCTTTTGCCTCCCATATTCGGCCCTGTGATTATAGTAAAATTGTGTTCTGGGCTTGCAAACTGTAAAAAGCAAAGTAAAATTTAATGTGTTTCGTTATAACAATAAAAACATCTATTACTATCAAATATTGTACATTCATACGATATCATTTGGCACTGGTAGCACTTGACTGTTGTAATCCAGCAGTGGATGAACACTGTTTCTTACAACCATGTAGTTGTCGAAATGTGGCCTCACGTACGACCCTACTGTGCTAGCCTGAAAATTAAAATTACGTTTGCATAGTTAAACCATACGAGAACCTACCTACCCAAAGATATTTGTCTTCTTTAGTTACTGCGTTACCTATCAAACAATTTACTTTTTATTTTCTACTAAGACTGATAAATGTTTTTATGTATTAAATTATTTTGAGTCTATGTATCTGCACTAACTATCTTCCAGCTAAATTAATTTTCTCTCTAATTTTACATGTAGTTTAGCAATTGCGCATATTTATTAAGTTTACTTTCAATAATATGTTTGTTTATCGTATCTTACCAAGATAATACCCATCTCACCGAATTTCTTATTTTCCGCATAGTGATGCATTGATTAATATACTTTATCACGATAAGTAAACATGATATCATCTAAGTAGATAATTGAAGTTGATAAAAATAAAACCATAATAACTAAAATATACTTAAATAAATGCTATCTCTGATATTTTTATATGATTAGAAAAACATCAATTCCATGGGATAACAACCGCGGAACATGAGTCAGTCTTTATTGTGTTTGTGTGGAAAAACACTTACTTGAGCTAATGCTAACAATATGTCCAGTTCGGAAACGTTTTCACAAAGTTTGTATAAACTTGCCATGAAAGGTCTTAATTCCTGTAATAAGCTGGAAATTACTCTAGAAAAGAAGTTCATTTAAAATGTCATACACCATATTAGAATCAAGAAATAATCCACTTAATTGTATACCTACTAACATTTTACTCATTCTTTGTATTTCATTGAGAGCCTCTTTAGCTTGTTGATCCAAAACTACAAGATCTTCGGTAGTCATTGATACACTTGTTCCACTATTATAAACCTTAAATTATTTCAATTTTGGTAAATATATAAATGGTAATGACCTTTTTTGTACTCGGGTGGTTTGAACGTCTTTACTAACCTGTATAAATATTGGTGGCAAATCTTCTTCACAGAAATTTCTTCTGTTTTTAGGTCCAATCGGCAATACAATATGAAAGCCTTTCATTACATTTTGATTCAATCTCAGTGGTAAATCGTAGCTTTCGCTTAAATTCTCAACCATCTTTTGTATGTCATCTATTAGTTCTGAATAGGTTCTGCGTGCTACATCGAGTAAGCCATTTATTTCTGGTTTCACGGCGAAACACCTTTGCATATATCCCATTGCACCCTTTTCTACATGTGCATCTTCTTGAATGATAGTATGTATTCGGTCGGCGATTTCTTTATACTGAGGATTCTCAAATTCCTAGTAATCACAATTAAGCATTTTATTTCTTTGTCATTTTCGAAACATAAAAGTTGCCTGATAAAACTAAATAGTACCATTTTGATTTTTCTTAATCTCCCACTTGTAGCATTAGTAAGAGCTTCTACCAATTTCGGCACAATATCAATTGTCGTTTTAAGTAGTATTGTTTGGTTTAATTGGGCCTCACCGAACTTATCATTGTTCTGATTCGGTGTTTCCACGCAAAGAAAGAGAATTTTGTCAACATCTGATAATTTCTTTATCACATCCTATTCAAAGAAAATTTAAACAACTGTTAAATGCAAATTATTTGGAAATATCATTGGAGGTGTAGTACATACCTGCAAATCTGCCATCAATCCCAAGTCATTTTCTATAATATCTTGTACGGCATCCAATCTATTTTCAATTTCGTCTTTGTTACATGAAGGTTGAAGAATAGCAGCCCTTAGAGTCCTTAGGCCACCAATTGTGTAAGTTGGCCCCAAAACCCCTAAAAGACTACAACTTGGACCTGCTGATGGAACCAGTGGCTGTACGAGTTCTAACTGCGTAGCTGTACCAACATCTAAAATGTTACAAAATTCATATATTTACCTTACTTATCTAGTTTCACAAAATGTTCGATACTATAACGATAAAGTTAAACTAAACAAATAATGTATTGAGGAGTTAATATACCTTCACAGAAATATTAAGAAAACACACACGATTATATAACAAGTGTTGAAGAACAAATCAAGCTAATAACATTCACCTATAATCATAGTATTTTCAGAAGAGTGATACTCAATCTTCAGTGACTCTCTTGCAAAAACCACGCACTGAATATATTCAACATATTTCAAAACTGCAGCTGCGGCGGTGACGGCATAAAACCTGTTTTTTGTATAAAACTTTAAATAATTTAGTTTCATCACTTGTCCTAGACGTGTATCAGTTAGTAATACTTACTTCGGAAGAACTTGTAAGTATACTGCGCTATATTGTGGTGCACATAATGTTTGAATTTGCTGCTTTCCAGCTGCATCGCTGAAATGTCTCCTTTGGACTGTAGTCAAATTTATAAGAGGATATTGATCTCTTATTAGCTGATATAATTGACTTGGAACCGTGCCTTCGCAGAAAGTATGAGGAACTATAATCTGTTAGCAAAAATAAAAATTAAATAGATAGCCCAGAATACCGGATGTATGACCAGCAAATTATTATCTTGAGATCATCCATGCTTCGGAAATTCGTGCCTTCGCAGAAAGTATGAGGAACTATAATTTGTTAACAAAAATAAAATTCAATTTGATAGACCGGAATACCGGATGTATAACCAGAAAATTATTATCTTGAGATCATCCATGTTTCGAAAATTCGGCTGGCACGTTAAATCATTGGTCTCTGTTGCACCTGCGCTTCCTTAGCACCTACCAACTAATTCACACTGGGCCGCCATCGTGCGCTTAACCCGTTCTCCTATGAGATTATGTTCAAGAAGCCTGTACTTAAGCAGTACAGGAGCCTACTGATTAAGCTCCATAGATGATTACTCCATTAGAATGTTGATGGTTGATGATGACTAAACGGTTACGCTTTATTGGATAAATAGGTAAATTGTTAATTTGTAGCCTTTTTATAGTTCTGTAGGTTTGTAAAGAACAATTCATACACTATTTGATTTTGAAGTTTTATATCATCATGTCAATTTCCAAAGCGTATTCGTATCATGTTAAAACTTTTAACAATGAAGATCGCTGGACATAACACAGTCGAGGAAATGATTAACTAGGTGATTTATAATTTAAAGTTACTAACCTCAACAGGGTTAAAATAATTGATCTTTGTGAGAGCGTGCGTGTAAAGCAGCGTATCGCTAAACTGGCATAGGACGAGTTTTGGGTGTTTTAAGTCTACTGCTGCCATACCTATTTCACCTCTCGCCATGCCTCTTCCTTCAGCGATAGCTAGAAAACGTATTAACAATGAAGGGAATATTAAAAATATGTAGGTGGGTATAAAATCCACAGAAAAATGGGATGCTCCAGCTATCCTAACTGTGGGCTCGAAACCCTCATCCATAACCACTGAATCTTATTTCACACAACATTTAAATCTAAAGAAAATATAACTAGAAAAAATTCCACGCGGACCAGGCAGCAGACGGGACTCGAACCCGCACCCTTCGCAATCCGGGCGAATGCACTGACCAATTATGCTACCGCGGCCCTCACGGACCGCGTCGAAATTCCTTCTAGCTATTCTTAAGCTGCAAGGCAGCGCCATCTCTTCGCATTATAGATAAACCCACAATGTCAAATGAATACTTTTACAAGTATTAAACATTTGAAAGAAGAAATAGCAATTATAGTTATAATTTTTATTATTTTTAAAGCATGTAACTGCTTGATGTTTAAATCTAAAGAAAATATAACTAGAAAAAATTCCACGCGGACCAGGCAGCAGACGGGACTCGAACCCGCACCCTTCGCAATCCGGGCGAATGCACTGACCAATTATGCTACCGCGGCCCTCACGGACCGCGTCGAAATTCCTTCTAGCTATTCTTAAGCTGCAAGGCAGCGCCATCTCTTCGCATTATAGATAAACCCACAATGTCAAATGAATACTTTTACAAGTATTAAACATTTGAAAGAAGAAATAGCAATTATAGTTATAATTTTTATTATTTTTAAAGCATGTAACTGCTTGATGTTTAAATCTAAAGAAAATATAACTAGAAAAAATTCCTAGTTATATTTTCTTTAGATTTAAACATCAAGCAGTTACATGCTTTAAAAATAATAAAAATTATAACAACATTTAAAATTATAATGTTTAAGTAAAGTACGTACCTAAAATTACACTAGCTTCAACAGCACTCGTACTAGTGGAACGTCCAGACCGGCCACTGTGGCCACCTGAAATATTCGCATCAATTACTTGCCTTAATTATTGCTTCGTGAGATACGCAGTGCGCTGCTGCTAATACCTTTTCAGGATTTAATGTACAGTATAATGCCGATTATTCGAAGGCCGAATCAGTCCTAATTAATATAAAAAATTAAAACCTAGTTATTTTTGTTTTGTTTTGTTGTAACAAGTTGGAACTCGCTACTGTTATGTATGGTTGAAAGCTAGAGGCAAGACATTACGTGTTTTGCGTGGCGCGGTTATTTTTGCTACTATGTACCTCTATTTTTGTATTTAGTATTGTAGAACTGTGTTTGTTAAATTTATAAGGTTTATTCTGTGTGACATTTACTTTTTCGTCTATGCCTGATTATCCGAATTTTCGGTTATCCGAATCGACCCCGGTCCCAATTAATTCGAATAATCGGCGTTCTATTGTAATTTTCTAAACCGACATTTTCCGTAGCTCAGTAAGAAGGATCCAGATGCGAATTCTAGATCAGTAACTAAGTGGCTGTAAAAGTAGGTACTTTTTTAAATTATGGTTTGTTATGCTATTTGCCAGGCCCACTGGTTACAAATTGTTTACCTTTTTTTTATAAATAGGTACCAAATCAATTGCTTTCGATTAAAAAGAGTTCAAGGTATTTGTGATACCTATTGTATAATAACGATTTATTGCATCATTATTATCTTTTAAGGTCACTTATTCATATTACATGGAACAAGTGGACTACCTTTTCGCGGGGGACTTTACATCTATCTGTTCATACCTACCACCTTTGTTATGTGCTAAGGAATCTCTATAAGTGAACTTCAGTCTTCTAGAAATAGGTAGCTTGTACCTAACTAACCATCTATGCCGTTTCCTTCATTTTTTCTATTCATTATACCAGTCTTGTTCTGTCCCCTCGCATTGCTATTCCAATACGATTTATGATTACAAGAAATAATCGACTTCAAAGTCAAAATATCTATCTAAGTTGTATTCAATAAATAACAAACTTTTTTAGAATAGTCGTAATTTTTTTTTCCAATAACGCTGCATCATGTTGCTGTGGACGTACTACTTAAGACTACGTGTGAAGTTAAGTAAAGTATATAATCAGTTATTGGTGTCAATTCTGGCGTGATTCTCTAAACTTAAAACTAAATTTAAGGTGAGCCTCACCTTTTCATTCTGTATAGAGAAGGACAAGGATGCACTGTTGTCAAATTTAAGTTTAGTTTTAGAGAATCATGCCAGAATCGACATCAGTATTGATCTACCCACCTCGACTGCTGCTGCTAATGTACCGTAATACATTAGGTCTATTCTTTGGCGTGTTAAACTCATGTGAGTTTTCCACAGCGGAATCGCTCGCTAACACTTTAGGTCGGGTCCCAGGTCCGCTCCATGAAGACTCCACTTTGTTTGAGCTTGATGATGATATTATTCTTGGCGATGCAACAGAGTAAAACTTGATATTAAGATACTTTTACGAGGAGCCCGATGTCGCAAAAGTTTAGCGCGTTTGATCTGAGATCGTGCAAGTTGAGCAATTTTTGTATCGGCTGGTCCTTGGATGGGTGACCAAAAACTTATTATTTCGTACTCCACAGTGCTTCGAAACGCACGTCAAGCTATTGGCCTCGACTGAATTTACAGTATTTAGCACCCACCAATCAGCACCGGGCCCGCAAGGTGGTTGATGGCCCATTCTTCCTACGCCAACCATAGGGCAGGCGTGTCCGCAGCAGTTGGAACATTAAAAAAAGGCTGATGATAAGATACCTTTTTATAAATTACTAGCTGATCTGATAGCTAGAGTTAGGTGTGGACAACCTTTATCACTCGAGGTATGAAAGATAGATAGTAGCCGATTCTTGGACCTACTGAATATGCGTATTGCATAAAAATCGGTCAAGCCGTTTCGGAGGAGTATGGTAGGTAACTAATATTGTGTTATAAGAATTTTATAGCATATTAGATAATCATCCGGGCATAAATTAAAGGTCATAAATGGGCATAAATGAGTCGCTAATACATCCATGCATTATGCAGCGTATCTTAAATATTAAAAAAGAATTTTAAGGTGATTGTGGGGTATGATTATGATAGTACATAATACTTTTAACTGGAACAAAGTTTGCCAGTCACAGGCTCGTAAATAATGAGTAACCCATCGCTCCCTTTTATAAAGTACCTACGTAACATAACTATATATATAATATAATATAATTCATAAGTAGGAAAGTAGGCTGTAATCAAGTTACTTTATGGTATTTACCTTCTCTTAGGATTTCTTGGTAGCTCCAAAGGAGGACCCATGCAAGACCTTTTGGGTGCTGTAGTGTCATTGTTATTAAACTGATAACGAGGCATTTTATTTGTTGAAGCACCAAACATTGTTTTAGGTAAGCCTGATGTACTACCTCTGATTCCTGTAAAATTAATAAATAATTAAAGTTATAATTATTTTTTTAAGCATTTAACTGCTCGATGTTAAAATCTAAAGAAAATATTATAAGCAAAAAATCCACGCGGACCAGGCAGCAGACGGGACTAAAATAATAATAATAGGGACGGAAATAATTATGATTAAGTTGATCGCAGTGTCTTCAACAATATACAGGGCTTTATTTCATATGTAGCTACGCTGGGTTGGATTACATAAGGGAAATACATTTTGCATAACATAAGTAATAATTCTATCGAAGAACAGCATAATATTAGAAAAATGAATATTACGCATATTTATACCTAATGCAATATCTTTACGAATTAAATCATTTTTAAATTTCGTCCGCGTGTTCTGGTCCGTACGTTTTTCTCTTTTAACAACGTTCATAGTTCATAGTAACAATTTTAAATATTATACTGATGGTTTACACAGGTTGACTAAAAAAACTTTACAAAAAACTTTTGATTTACGCGCTCTTTCAATATATTTTATTTTTTAAATTCTTTAATGTGCAAGAGAAATGGTACCTTTATTCCTACAGCCTAGTTTATCTGACATCATAAAATGCATAACACCATGACACTCGCATGCATTTGGCATTTTGTTGGACAGGTTTGCAGTTTGACATTTGATCTTGACATGCTAAGCAATGTCAAAGTCAGTTGTTCTACCTGCCGCATTTGAGCGCATAATTTCGGAGGTACGTATTATTTATTTTAATTTAATACAATAAAGTTTTAATTTATAAAGCTAAAATTCACGTGTTAAAGATAAGGTATTTAATATGCTGTAAATCAATAAGCTGTTTCCCATATACAATAATTATGCAATATGAGCAGATTTCGTCGCATCATATATCTAGTTTATCATTGCATTTAATCAGCTCACCTCACCGTGACCTACAGGATAAAAATACTTAGCTAATTTGACATAAAAAGAGTGAAGCATGTTTATAATATCTAACACTATATAAAAAACCACATAATGCTATTTAACAATAATTGATAAATAACTTTATTCATATCTAACTGATTATCTAGAGATTGTTACTGTCCTGATCCTGACTTGTGTTATTATGTAAAATGATATAAAACTATGGTTGTTATTAATCGCACAATATATTATGCATGCACAGCATTTAAAAAATTGAGAACAATTTAAAATTGGGTAATATTATTAAGGTATAGGCAAGAATGAATTTAGTAGGCTTGTTTTATTAGATTCATTAGTAATATAATTTGATAGCAACATTTGTAGTCAATAGTTCCTATAATGTATTCTGTATTTATAAAAGGCAACCATTACTGACTATCTGATCTATCAAGGTACTTCTCAAACCAACTGAACGCACTGTGCTGAAATTTGGCACTCACGTAGCTCTTATGATGTAGGTGTGCCCTAAGAAAATATTTTCCAAAACTAACTCCCTGAAGGGGTAAAACGGGGATTCAAGATTTGTATGGGAGACTAATATTTCCACACAGTTGAAGTTGTAGACACCCACTAGTAATAACATATTCTTTCTAAGTTACAACTAGCTACTGAACTATTTATGCCTACATAATATGACTTAAATAAATTCTGTTTGACTAATAAAGGCTAGGTAAAAGCCATTTCATTATATAGTGCTTTCTGATTCTTACTAAATATGTCTTGTAAGATTTGTGACTGGCTCATGTGTATTTTTTTTAGGTTCTCAGTACCTAATTATTATTTTAATACATTTCTTGGATCTGCCTTAGTTGTAGAGTTTGTTTTGTCACTCAAATGAAATCAGACCATTCATTTCATAAGCATTAGGCCTGAAGATAACCTGTGCCTTGTGTTTTGTATAATTATAAATCATCATCAGCCCATTCTCCATAGGGAAGGCCTGTACTAGACCTTCCCTATGTAGAAAGTCGACAAGCGGGCCACAAGCCACCATGTTGACATACTGCAGTTAGTTTGTGGAAAACTAAACTATTTGACAATTTCATTTCAAAAAATATAAAAAGACAGAAATTTATAGTTATCTATCAAACTTATATTTATTGTAATTTTTTTATTACACATAATAGTACACATATAATTCTAATACTAATAGAATACATATACAGTACATATATAAGTATATTCCTATAGAAATACATATTAAACATCCATGACTGGAGTACAAATGCACATATTCATCACACAAACATCTGCCCCCACCGGGATTCGAACCTGGGACCTCTCGAGTAGGCGACACCAGCATACAAACCACTTGGCCGCGGAGGTCGTCATATAATTATCTATTGCTACATGCTGACTACACATAGGAGGAAAATTAACACTATCCATAATAACACGGCAAGGAGGAAAACTGATCAAAATAATATTTATCTTCAATAATCTAAGTAAACCTAATTGATAAGGAATGTTACTATGAGATGATTATTTACTTAAATATATAACCAAGCTATAAAAAAAGTTTAATTAATTGGTACTCAGAAGGAAAAAGGAAATCAACCTCAGTTCAGTTCTTCCTCATCTTAATGAGATGGGAAAGTGAAGGTGAGGGTGAGGAGAAGAGGATGTCTGTGGCGTGTATGCAGCTCAGCGCATTTTAGCATGTTGTTCTCTGGTAGCACAGCTTATTGCTTATTTACATATTTTTGCAGGCCGGCAAGGTGAGGATGGTTGGTGTAGCAGTTTATAACTGCTGTACCAGCTATCTTCGCGTTTGGACTTTATCACCACTTAGCATCAGGTGGGGTAGAGACATTTGCTTACCTCCCTATAAAAAAAAATTACAACCATAATGATGTAATTTTGGCGATGCATGTGGCAGTGGAGAAACAATGATAGAACAGTGAAGCAGTAAGTGCGCGCGTGATGGCGATAACCCTGCTGTAAGGTGATATAATATAATAATATGAGTGTTGCAAGGTTTATAAGGTCTTGAAAATAACTTATTTCAGGTGTGATATTATTTAGTTTTGTTTGAAGTGCCTCTATGTTGTATTAGTTAGCACAAAGCAACTTTCAGTGCGCAAAGGTCTAAGTCAGAGAGGTGACCCGAAAGTCTTGGAAGTATATACCACTAAGGCCTCTTGTTAACGGCCGTTGTTTTAGGAGACACCAAGCCAGTGTGATATTATTGTCCTTATCGATACGTAGACAAAGACAAGTATAGGTATAGCACCGCCTGGTGTCTGGTAAAAGAACGGCCGTTAAAAAGAGGCCTACTTTGTTTCCATGAACAGTGTATAGTTTTCGCATAGGATGGCTTATAAAACATTGTTTACAATAGCTTGCATTAATCAAAAGTAATATTGAACTGCGTCGAGGATAAGATACAGTATGAAATCAAGGCACGTTATGGCGTTGGTCCCGGCTGCATTTGTAGATGTTGACTAGCGCTCACCATTCCGCGTGGCGGGGCATAGTAAGTTCTCCCTGTACCATCCATATGTAAAGCCTGTGCCTCAGCAGTGGTAACATTATAATGTTAAGCCTATAGGCTTATGATGATGAATACTTATTATGCTATTCCTCTGTTGATAAAGTACTGTTTCTACACTTTTTCTAATAGATAGAATTAATGTAACTTAATGTTAAATTGCATCCTTGTTTCTCGGAAGATGACATCAACAGCATTTATCATTCCTCCTCGTGAATATAGATCGCTTTCACAGAACGCCATTAAACTCACTCAGTCTCAGTCAGCTCTCCTCATTCAATTCCCAAATTCAGTTTCAGATTTTTATTTAAATAGGTTAATTTATAAAAATATTTACAAATGATCTTGATAAAAATACAGTATTAACGGCGTTGTCGTGATTTCTCCATTGCTTTTGCTTTTGTAATTGTTTGCGGTGGTGTCGTGTGAGGCGGGTCGTTACATTACGTTTCCTAAAATATGATTGAGCGAAGCGATGGCTGGTTCATGCGTCATGCTCGTGAACGGGTACTGCCAGCGGAGATGAGTCCGCCCTAAATTCCTTGATATTGAAGATAAGGGCGTCACCAAGGGACGTCAAATGTAGCTAGCCGCAAAGCGACCAAAGTGCGAGCAATTGATTTCCTTACCTATTATATTGCCTCATTGCCCCCTCCATAAGATGTTAATGTTTAGTTACACTCAATATGACTAACACTATTTGTATTTATATGTAATTACACAGCAATCAAAATGCAGGTAAACAATAATTGTATATTTAATCATGGTGTAATGAAAGTAGAACTTCATGAATCATCTCTAAAGTAATTTTTCAACTTAAAGAGTCTCTAAATAATAAAACAGGGAGAAAAAACAGCCCTTGCGGATTTTGTTGCCGGTTCTTTTCAGTACAAGGTCTCCGCCGTAGATTTACGAACCGATGGTGTAGCTTTTAGACATTCATGAGTGCTTGTAACAGCCTAAACTGAATAAATGATTTTGATTATTAAGATTATTAGTATCTTGGTGCTGTTATTGCAAGCTGTCATGATATGTAATAAAAAACAGTATCTGTCTAGAATACCATACTTACTAATATTTAACGGAGGTTTAATTAGAATAATATAGTAATATCTCACTTGTTATAATGAAGGGGTATCAAATCAGTACCTTGGGGAAGCCCACTTTACCAATCATCTATTTTATATTAAGCACTAGGTCTGACAGTGATATAGTCAATCAAAATGGGGCAATCCTTATTTGATGCATAATAATTAGTCCCGTCCCCCCGGTGTAGCACGATAACCCCACTCAACCCTGCACATAGAAGGCATTGCGCAAATTACCCATTGTTAATAGGAAAACATTTTTTAATTCTATCAAAACAAATTTATCTCGGCAATCTTTATCTGTTTTGCGCCCGACGCAATTCGCAAAACAAGTGCTTCCACAAATATTCCATAAGTTTCTATCGCGAGTGAGAGAGACAAACGCAGTTTCGACGCCCTTACTTTAAAGATGGCTCGTGTCTGACTATAGTCTTTTCAATGAAGACGGCTCGGTGACGTCGTTCATAGTACGTAGCTCTCGGATAGCAGTTTTGTAGCTCGCATCACTGGTTATCTCTGTGCGTTGTGACCAGCTGTGTCAATAAATAGCGATAAAGGTGCTTTCAGTGTACGTACTGTACTTTCTGATATCACACTCGACGGAGGCGTGTTCACGGTAGTTCCCAGGCAGTGGCACTTTATTAAGATACGATTTCAAGAAGTATCATTCTAATTGAAGACGTTGTATAGTTAACTGCTTATTCTCGTTATACTTGAAGAAATTACGGAAAAATGGCTCTGTACAGGTAGACGTTTTATTATTATTTTTCTTATATTTAATTTTTAATTATTCCTTAAGAAAAAATAGTCAAAATTAATACTTATTCGTTTCGCGAATAAATATCAACGCTTAGTGATTAAACTGCTCTTTTATTGATGTCCTCTCAACACGACGGACCAGTTTAATAAGCGGTTTGTTAAATATGGTTGCAAACGCAGGCACTACTTACCGCACGATGCACTGCACACGAATCGAAACCACTGGAAAAAAATTAACCGAGTGCATTTTCCTATATAAAGTCCTCGACACCCTACATTTGCAATTCATTCATCATTTTCCCTCAAAGGTATTCACATTATTCAAATTATCGGTAAACTTGCTACAACTATTTAAAATTCATAATCGATTTAATATAACAATTTATCAATTAGCCAGTGTAAGAAAATCTTACTAATATTGTATTCTGTGCTAATATTATTAATGTCAAAGAATACATACAGTATATAAATGTAAAGGTTTGTAATTTTTAAAATAGTAAAAACTATCCTATGGTATCGAATCTTCTTTTGTGGGGTGATACTGTAAAAGGCCAACCAGTAATTTTTTTGTTAAACTTATGAGATATTTATTTGTGCGTATTTTTTTATTTGTAGTTATTTGTTTTGTAGTTAGTAATATTTGTCTTGGTAATATAACTCAATCCAATGACTCATCGCAGTCTTGTTTGCGAATTGCGACATTCATTAGACGGAGGCGTGTTTATGTGTCATTAATCAAAGTATTTGCATTAATAACAGTAAAATATGATTGACTATAATGATGTAATTATTAATATCGATGATACTAATGGTTATACAAGATATTTAAAATTGTAATCTCTCTTATGTTGATAGTTTTAACGTATTTTATTTTAACCATATTATTTCTATGAGTAGATCTGTCCTTTTCACCAGTTTATTAAAATTTATGAAACCTTTGTTTGGCTTCAAACCTTTGTCTTGATATCTCGCGCTATGCAATTTCAGCATTTTAATGAGAGCAACTTTCAAGTTAGTTAGTTATTTTGATTACCTTGTCTAACTTCAGAAAGTATACAGATTTTATAAACCAATTACATATCTCGAAAATAATAACAAATTACGGTTACAGAGGCTATAGTCTTAGGTCTATTTAAAAAATTAGGAAATTCTTTAATCCTTGCTTCATAATTAAAGTGTTTGTTTCAGCAGTTTAAAGAACAACTTGCAGTACGCTACGCTGAAGACTTTGTCGCTGGTCAGTATCAGCGTCATGTCGCCCCAGCAGAGCGTGCAGGAGCTGTTCCGGACGGCGGACTGCGTATGCTTCGACGTCGACTCCACAGTCATAAGGGACGAGGGCATCGACGAGCTCGCCAAGTTCTGCGGCAAGGGCGACGAGGTCAAACGACTGTGAGTATTCTAAATCCTTGCCAGCATCATCGAGTTGCGATGCAGAGACGTATGTATGTATAGTAGAATCGCAAAGAGAGAATAGGCTATATCCCGCGCGAGTTGGTCGATGCTAACGATTGCGTTTGAAGGTAGACGCGATAAGTGGTTCAACGTTCCATACAAAGCATACAGGATATTATTGGTTAATCGTCCAATGACTTGACTGCATTTATTGTAAACTGCTTATTACATTAACTCGGACCAAATGCGTTTATTACGGCGTCATTGATGAAGTTTACGACTATACTACCATATGTGTGTTCCTGAAATTTAAATCCGTATAGTGATATTACGTGATGCGTTTATCCTTCAAATTCAGGAATGATCGAAATGAGACTCCACTTTGATTTCCTTGTTGTTTCCAGAATGAGTGATTGATTATGTTATGCAAGTCTAATGCGAGATCACATTACACATTATATTACATATAAATAATTTGTATAGAAAACGATCATTGGAGTGTCTGTAATATTGAAATAACCGCTTTTTACTATATGAATATGAATATATATACGTACCGTATACACCAAAATTTTTTTTTACAATTTTTGTCTATATGTCTGTTTGTACCGGCTAATCTCTGAAATGGCTGGACCGATTTTGACGGGACTTTTATTGGTAGGTAGCTGATGTAATAAGGAGTAACTTAGGCTACTTTTATTTTAGATAAATACTTTTATTTTAGAAAAAAACTAAAAGTTAACGCGGACAAATCGCGGGCGGCCGCTAGTTAATAATACGCAGGTGTTTCACCATTTTTGCACAGCCAACTCTTTGTTTAGTCTCGCCTTTTTAGGATTTTAAAATGCTACAATTGTAATTTGCTACAAAAGTGTTTTTATGATTTTTTAAAATTATTGTTTATTTGGGTACTTATCTATTCGTTTTTAAATATTTTGTCAAATCGTTGTATTGTTACGCACGTTTAAAGATTATTTTACATACATTTGAAGCTCATAAAAGCAGCCCTAAAATAGCTCCATCGATCGTTGAATAAGAAGGTAGGTATTTAGGTTAAAACTCCACCAAAAGTTATTGCAAAGAAACATTCTCTTCGCTCGCTCTTTAAATTTGCAAATCATGTTTTTACCAACCAAAAATGATGCAAGTCGTAACTACTTGCTGATAAAAAGTCAAAATAATCTTTTATAAAATAACTGTTTACACAATTTTAACAATATTGATATAATTAATACATTATTATAAAGATATGAAACGATTTACAGGTATTTTGTATGAGCTAGCGACAAACGGTAAAACTTTTCCATTTCCGATTTCGATGAGATTGAGAATATTTATGTATCGATTCAAGGTTAAATCAATAAATGCGTTGTTGTCGATATGTTAATTCTATGTAATCTAAGATATTGAAATATGGAAATATATATATTTGTTTTATTATTAACAGGATTATTTTTATGCAAAAAATATTCTTTATCAACAAAATCACGATAAAATGACTATAAACACAAACACTAAATATAATACCAGTTGTGAAAAAAAATATATTTATAATTCGACCTTCCTCAACTTGTTTGTTGAATTATCAAATATTTAAATTCTGGTTGTCATGCCTACGCATCATAGATTAGATTTTGTCCTCTACGTCGAGAAAGGAGGAAAATATAATAATTTTCTAACTTAATTAGATACTTTCTTTAATATAAACAATTAACTTAATTACTTTTGAACGGGTTCTGGAGTATATAATTTTTTTTGTAAGATAATTGGACAAATTGTCTTTATTCCTGTGATATTATTTAGCCCTATTATTTGTAGTAGTTCTGTAGTTATTTTTAACTTACGATTTCATTATGATTTTAACAGAACGGCGGAGGCGATGGGTGGTAGTATGACCTTCCAAGAGGCACTCAAGAAAAGGCTGGACATTATCAGGCCCACAGTCAGTCAAATCAGGGAATATATAGATAAGAATCCCGTACATCTGACGCCAGGAGTAGCGTAAGTAATTTTAGTTTTTTTATGAATCTTACATTTATCAAAAACACATATAAATCACTGAAACAATTAGTTTAAAATACGAATTCGAATAAGTATTGCATAGTTTATAAGTATGTATATATTTTAAAAACAAATGAAGGAGCATTCTCTAAAAATAAAATTTGTCAACTCACAGTAACTCGTTGATAAGGCAATAAAAAAATCTTAATCTTATTTACGTGAAGATAACTGGGTAGTGAATTCATATTTGCAAATAATATTCAGACAATAGAATTCGGATTCCGGAGTTCCGGAAATTCACTATTTCCGGAACTAGATTTGAATCTGTCAGATAATAATAATAACAATATTAATAATAGAAACTATTCTCCTCACATCACCTTGATTTAATGTAAGGAGCTGGTGGTTGTCTGAAATATAGTAGGTACTTCGGTCACAGATGATGTAAATACTCCCTGATAAGGTAAAGTTTTCCTTAACAGGTGTACTTATGCATGCCAAGATTACTGTTTATTAAATAAAGCAAGTTTCAACAGTATAGATGCACTGATTTATTTATTTTACGTTTCGCATCCTTTATACCTCGAGCTCGATGGCGCAAGTGGTTAGCGCGTTCGGCTGCGATCGTTGAATTTAAGCAACTTTCGCAGTGGTCGGTCATTGGATGGGTTACCAAAAATCTTCTATCTCGAGTTCCTCCGTGCTTCGGAAGGCACGTTAAGCCGTAGGTCCCCGCCCGCCAATCCGCATTGGGCCCGCGTGGTGGGTCATGGCCCAATCTTCCTATTCCATCCATAGGGAAGGTCTGCTGTGCCCCAAGCAGTGGGGACATTAATAGGCTGATGATGATGATGATGATGATGATCCTTTATACCGTTGAAACATGTTTTATTTAATGTGAGAGTGGTGTGCGTGAAAACCTAAGAAACAAATATTACTGTTTATGTTTATGATCAGATTATTTGCATACTCGTTTTGCATACTTTGTGCGCTATTATCCTGGGATAATAGAAGTACCTTATAACATTATCACATTGTTTATGTGTCAGAGCACTTGACCGGTGGAACACGTTTGATTAAACAATCTAGTTCAGTCTGCTTTAGCGTTACAGCTTATGTCGACAGGGTTATGACCAAATCGTCTGACTCAATAGCTGAGTTTTTTTTACTTGAACATAATACTTTATTTAGTCCAAAGGTACGATTATGTTATCAGCTTATGTCAACAATGTTATCAACTTATGTCAACATGTTACCCGTTTAGTACCTAATGGTTATGATATCGAATATCTTTTCTTAAACAGGAAGGAGCTTGTTTAATTCTTACATATATATTTTAATGCGAACCGGTTTTTGTAATGGCTAAAGTAAGAACTCGATAAGTTATTTGTAGATTTCTTGTTTGTAAAGCACGGGAAAATATCTTTTGCGATATTGGAGAGCAATTATACAGTGTCACATGCAAACAATGAAACATTACAGTTTTTGTTATTAAACTGCTGTCTGAGTCAATAGCACTACTATTTTACGTCTGGGTTAATATTTGAATTGTTGTATTCTTTTACTGAGGTAAAAAACGTCTACAATATTATTCTGTTTTGATTCAAGTTAGGTCAGAAATCTTTACAACTACATCCACATCAGCAGACCCGTCTTTCTCAGTGGGCACTTTGGCCTAGTGCTCCTGGGCCCGTGCCCAGGGGCCAGGGCTCCGTGGCCCTGGCCCCGCGATCGATAGGGGGCACCCTCAGATCAAATACAAAGTCCCTAGTTCCTGTTAAATCACCAAACGGAAGTCATAGGGGCCCCATTATCCTAATATGCCCAGGGCCTCAAATAGGTCAAAGACGGCACTGCACATCAGATAAGGCAATTTTTACGGGTTAAATGCACTGAATTTATATATCTAAATAAATAAATTCAGTGCATCTAACCCGTAAAAATTGTTTTATTTAATGAGTGATGTACGTGAAAACCTAAGAAACAAATAAATAAGTAAGTAGTTTTAATGCCACATGCGCAGTTGTGACAACTAGTCTTGTAAGCAGTAATTGCGTATTCTAACTTCCATGGCTACACTAGGTGTTCAGAGAATTAATTAATTTATCTTTATCATCTAACAAACAACGCTGTACACGTGAACGGATTTATTGATGTACACATTATAATGTATACAAAATGTTTCATTGTGGCTTTCGATAGGGACTGATAAGAAAAGTTGTATGTCACTGGGGCATCGTAAGCCGCAACATATTATATCCAGTTATAACCACCTAATTCTAGTATTTGCTTGTTTTGTACACACACAATAAACAAGATGAATCGGCTATTTACCAAACAAGATTATACAAGTTGTGATTAGTGAAACACATTTTGTTAAGTACATTTCCGTTTCGTTTCTTACAATGTTGGTGCAAATTTTTCATGACATATTCTGCTTACACTCGTGTTGAACGCCCGATTAACTTTTTTGTGGTAAAACCATAAATTTCTTTATGCCTCTCGCTCCTTGCATTTATAGAAAGTTCAAAGCGACAACTAGATGAGCAACCATCCTTTTAAGGTGTGCTAGAAATTGTAAATTGGCTAGAAATCCTATGAGTAAGATAGTCAACTTACTAGCTTTTCTTTTGCCTTTTAAAAACTACAGCATTTGTATATGCTTTCGTAGTGCCTCTTAAAGTAGGACTATGACTGGTTTGACAAATAATAATAAATCTTACTTATCTTATTAACGTAACTAAATAAATATGTTCGTTGAACAAATTACTATGTCAATGTTTATTAAATTTGATAGTGTTTTTGGGATTTTATACACAACGACAAATACATATTACTGATGCAATAAATCTTCAAATCAATCAATAAATTATAAACATACCTAGTTTAAAAAACATTGACTTAAAGCCAACTATGTAAAGAAAACAAACAGGATATTTTATATTTTTGACGTGACAACGTCTTAAATTAGGTTGCGGCTGGGAGTCACTTATGAAAAAGTGTAACGCTCGGTAACGTTACGATGAGTCTCTCGTGTTAAGTTTAAGTTTACATGTACAATGTTTTAGTAAACAAAATATATTTCTATAGTTAAAATTTGTGCAATTCTTATTTTCATTCAATTCCTTGTTCCTATTGTGCAATTTAATTATATTCATATCAATAAATATTCTACCGAGAAAAAGACGTTGTCACGTAAAATCTTCGCCCGTAAAACCGACTTTACAGGCAACCATTTTTTTCGCTCCGGCTAATTTACCCAGTTAATTTACCTATTTATTTTATTTTATTGCAGAGCATTAGTCAAGGAGTTACACGAAAGAGGTGTGGCGGTGTACCTTGTCTCCGGAGGATTCCGAAGCCTGATCGAACCAGTAGGAGAACTACTTAATATTCCTCCATCAAACATCTTCGCTAATAGGCTAAAATTCTACTTCAATGGTAAGTTTTTGTTTATGGACCACATAGACGATTATGCCGTTAAGTATTAGGTAGCGGATGTTATGTTGTTAACTTTTCTGGGTGATAGCTATTGCTTATTTACATAACTCAAGAGTTAGATCAACTTGCCCAGACCCTTCCACGTACAATAGTTTTGCAAAAGAAAAAGGGGATTCTAGGGATATTGACGCCACTAGTTTTGACGTCACGAGGTTTTTTCGATATGAAAGTTTTGTGAGGAATCATTAAGTTATGTTGTCTTATTTAAAATTCAGATGCGTGAATCTCTCGCTTTAGTAGGTTCTGCTTTTTTTCCGGAATAGGCTAGTTGACCCTTTTTGGGAAAAGGTTTTAAATGGTTAATAAATGTTCTATTAGACCGAAAAAAAATGTATTGTATTTTTTTTAAACCTAGAAAGCTACAAATCTTTAATTTTAAAATAGACTTTTCATGGACATACAAAAACGCTGTCGGCCATTTTAGTCTATAGATTATCTATGCTATGACGTGAACTGTGGTAAACAAAAACTCGTAAACACGTAGAAAATTACTTTTAACTGAGTTTATAATAAAAAAAACATGATTTCTAATAAATACCACGAAAAATAAAGTAATTATCATTACTGTATTGTACGAGAATATAAAAACACATCCTTGAAGACTCCAGGAAAGTTGTGGATTAAAGTGCCGAAAGAAATTAACCTACGCAACTTTATTACACTTATTCATATGTTGTATCAGTTTTATGTTTATTACTACATTGTAATACTAAATGCACTGTATTTACATAGATGCCTTGTCATTTTTCTGCTCCGCAGAGCAGAAATCGGGGTTTAGTGCAACAAATTCACCAACCATCAATGCGTCAATTCTTGGCAGATTTGTGCTTTCTGCTTTCACAAAGCCGGCATCCATAATTAGTTTCCTAAAGTTAAAAGTGTTTTAAGATAAATTTAGTCAGACGAAAGAATCCACCTACAGTAACACGCGAATGACATTTAGTTGTTTACCACAAGAGACGTCAAAATCATGGCGGATGTGGCGAACAGCGTTTTTAGTGTTTAAAAAATATAGACTAAAAAATATTTTTTTAAATTAAATTTCTACAGCAATCTTCTGCTTTTATGAAGTAAAATCGATATATTAAGGTTCCTTAGACTAAATACTTTAAGAAATAAACATTTATTTAATACAATTCGACATGAGTAAACTAGCCTATTGCCAAAGGTAAAGCATGAGATACAGCTTATTTCGTTTCTAAACCTTTATAAATATGAAGGCAGATCAAATAAATGGTTTTGTGGAACATTTATACATAGTTAGGCACAAACGTAATTACCAGATTATTATATAATTTTTTAACGTTAAGCAGCTTAAACGTAATGGAAACATGTACAATTTTGCGTTCCGAAATCTTCATATACTTAAAATTATTCATTTAGTTCAATAGACAAACCTTAAATCACTCAAAAGTCAAGTTTAGGGTCTAAAGATATTCTAAGCATTGCTATGAATTATACTTTTTTTTTCCTATCTGCTTTTGTTGCGCCACATTAGGCAAAGTTCGTAAAGTCGTTAGTAAGTGTTCATTGGGTTTTAACGTCCCAACTAATTGGAATATAATCCCAGAAATATAATAAGTATTTAAAATTCACGTGCCATTGCGATAATGTGGTTGTTGACTACGATTTCATGGATAATCTGATGATACTTATGATTTTTAATAAAAGCTTTTAATTACATTATTTTAATGATCGATGCGCAACTCGAACGTGAATCATTGTTTATCAATATATAGGTACATACAAGGAATTTGATATTAATTAATATTTTAATTGCATTTCAAGTAATATCTTTATACATATATTATTATAAAGGCAACCGCTGACTGACTGATTTATCAACACACAGTTCAAATCACTAAACTGATTGCCCTGAAATTTGGCACACAGACGAAAGCACCCGTTAAAAAATATGTGAAAATTCATTCCCTAGAATTAAAATAAGGGATAAAAGTTTATATATAATATTTTTAGTTTCAAAAATTATTTTAATATTTAAAAATAGTTAATGAACTTATGATGAACAAAAAAATACTATTATGATATATTTTTTGAGAATTCATCCCATAAGGGGTTGAGTATGAGTATATTTCAAACGGTAAAATAGTCCAAAATAAAATTATATAGCCGAAAAATTTTGTTTTTCAACGTAGCCATGGTTTACTATAGCTCGTGCTATTCTGTCTCTCTCGCAAGTTACTTAAGAAAGCATGTGCGAGAGGGACATAATATCTTCGCCGTCAGTTGCGATTTGTTTTTTTATTAGCGCGAGTTATACGTACGTACTTAATGTACCTATGTACAAATATACTTTAATTGAAACCACACAGTAGACAATCTCGAATTCTCGATATCAATATTAGCCTTCGGTTGATATTTGAAGGCCAATAACAGTATTGTCTATCGATATAGCTATCATACAAATTAGGTTATTACAATCGTATCTATCAGTTGCATTGTGTGAAGTGCGGTGCAGATAATTATTGCTATTATTCACAGTGATATATATATTGATAAAGCTCAAGTTACATATAACGTCAAAAATTAATCGTATAACATTGAAGTGAGCCCGTTCTTAAAATCTTTATAGCAGTACGCCCGCCATACCATACCTGAGTCCTTTTTAAAGGTTCTAACGACTAAGGCAGCATAAAAAATATTCAACAATCGGCTGACTGACTTGACTTTTGGTAGCGTCCAAATCGACAGACTTTTGAATAGGAGCTACTTGAGGGTCAGGTATGATGATCTCATAAAGGGCTCAGGTATGATGGAATAATTCAGCCTTTATATTATTCTGCCGCGCTCGAGTAAATCCCCGCTAGGGCTCCCCTACTATTATAAACATATACACCTAAAAGTAAATATTGACTTTTCATTGTCTATAGAGCATGATAAGTTTCATACTAATTTCGTTACAAGTAATTTTCAAATGAAAATATTAGTTGAGTGTTTAACTATACTAATATCAGTGAATAGTGAGATTGCCCTGCCTTATAACTATTTAGTTGTAGTTTGTAGAAGGAATAGGGATTTTTCCCTCCAGCCTTGGGTTTGCGGGATATAAGCACGTGAAATGCTATGATGCTATGCATATAATTACATGTACATATGTGCATAAGCATAATGCCACGTATTTATTAGGTAAACATTTGTTGATAAACTGTTTATGATGATCATCACCTTGTTTATAAACAAGTTTACCGTAAACACAGTTTCTGAAACTTTTCCGTCTACACTAGTCAGTTGTTGCTAGGATGTTACCCGAGGAGGTAGTGTTGCTCTGTGCTACTTATGTAGTAATTCATGAGAGTACTACAGAAAAAAAGCAAATGGTGGTGGTTTTAAATAGAAGTTCTGTATGTGATGACCTTCGTGGATTTGATGGGTCTTTTCATAACTTTACTAGAAAGTTAAAAACTGATTTTGAAATATTATTGAGATTGATGAATAACAAGACAAGAAACGAAATTTCGGAATCCTATTCAGCATCAGCGTAGATCAGCTATTACTTTAAGATTTCTTGCAACAGAACAATTAATCTGCAGGATCATACTACAAGTATGACCATCGAAACTTGGTCATTGGACAACACTACGTCCATACATAAATAAGCTACAAACATCTCGCAACACACGTCCACACCTGTCAACTTTTGTTTATATACTAAATGTTTCTCTTGCTCTCCATTTAGAGGGGAGAACACGGCAACATGTATCTGAAACAATGTGTCATCACCGTTGTTTATAAACAATTTCTAGATTGTATACTTAGGTGATGCAACATTGTCAAATACTGTTTATTAACAGTGTTTATACACAAATGTTGCCTAATATTCATTATGCGGCATATAACATTATTTTCTCAAGGTTTTACAATTATTATCTTTCTCGGAAATCGCTTATTATTTTCGTTGTTTAAGTGGATGGAGCTTATTACGATGCATTTTGTCATTGTTTTACGGCATGATAAGACACAACCCAAATACTTTGTAGATAGATTTAAAAGATACGAAGTATTTTTCTATATATGACCAGATCACTCCGGAAACGATTCTTTTCTGTATAATTTTTCACTTGTGTTAGGATATGAGTGAACTGTGACATAAACATAAAATATCTTATTTATATTATTTACTGAAAACAATGTTAAATGTGTTTTAAATTTTATTTGTCTTTATCACATTTTTCTGTAAATATTATAGATAACTATAATCGTGATTATAGGTGGTCCACCCCGCTTCGTTTCGGTGCAGCCAGTTTTAAGTATTTTGTTTTAAACACGACATTAAGAACTAAATTAGTAGATACATATATAGATAATTTAGAGCAGAGTTTCTTACACTATTTGCAGTTACCAACTATTTTCAGAATTAAAAAAAAAACAATCACAAGCAGTATTATTGTAACGCGCAGTCCATTTCCATTATTTTTGTCTATTTTTACAAGTTTCAACGATGTTCTTTGTCTGTAAAGACGGTATACAGAAAATCTTCGGTAGGTATATTTTTGTGTATACCTTTTTCTAAATAAAATAAAAAACACATTTTAAAAGAGTTGTCGCTAACACTCATTATTATTATTTACTAAAGACTGATGTAATTCTTTAATGACCTGTATAAGATCAAGAAGAGCACACACCTAGCACATGTCACACACTGTATTTTTTAATTAAAATATACTCTTAATGAGCAGTAGATAAAAGTGATTGTTAGCAATCACAGACTAAGTTATTGTTGTTCCTACGCAAACAAGATGTTAATTTATTTCGAATCTAAATATGTAAAATTATATGTTGTACTTGTTGACTTGGTAAAATAAACAAAACTAAATAATTTTTACACCAATCTACCTACACCGACATTATATTCTAGATCAGTACATTTTACGAGAATGATTAATGAATTACATAAACATTTTTATAAATGCTTCTTTTTAGGGTTCCTTTCCCTAATGTCGTAAGGTCCATTAGAAAATAGTGATAACTTACGTCTGTCCGACCGATCGTCGTATTTTAGCGGATTCTACTGAACTCAATAATCGTAATTAGAAGAGTTATTATTTTTACCCTGTGCCCCTTTTGTAATGCCGCTTTATTGCCCAATAGTAACAAAAGAATATCTGCATTCCTTGTTCAAATACTTTTAAATCTTGTATGTACGTACAATGGTACAAAATACTTCGTTTTGTACCATTGTACATTCGTAAGTCCTACTAGCACCTTACCGGTTTTGTATTATTGATGCCACTTTAGCTGCATTCCAGAAGTTCCCTATATTTGAACAAATAGTTAAGTCCTTAAAAAAAAAATTAAATCTTTCCATAGCAACTTTATGTAACAAAATCGCTCCTGCTATATGTTCTACTGCCAGTACGCTTAGATCTTTTGATTTACGCAAACGCAAAGGATTTAAATGCAATTTTAAGCAATAGATAGAGTACTTAATTCAAGAGGATTTTTTATTAGTACGTATTAAACATGCCCGAGAACAAAAATTTCACCGAAGCGAAGCGGCAAAAGTGAAACATGAAAAAATGTACCTATACCGATAGGTTAGTATAGTTAAAAAATAATTTGCAATTAAATGTTATTCGAATTACTCATCAAAAAGATTTGTTCCATTTAAAAATAGCAAAGTAATCCGATAAATCATCGAACGATCCGAAGCGCAGACGCAAACATTGGTTATCATTGCGGCGTTGCACGTTGCGAGCGCGTGGCAAAGCGTGCTAGCGTATGATATGACGGTCGCCCGACCGCAAGTTGCGTTCTGTTTACACCACAACTGGGCCACGATCTTGTGAACTCGAAACAAATAATGTGATGATAATGTGCACATGATCGTGATGGGCGTGGTGCGAAGACGTCATTAAACCGAATGCTATTTATAGATTTACAACTGACTAAGTATGAGATCAAGTTCAAAAATCTAGAGCTCTATTTAAATTCACTCGCCTATGACTTAAATCAACTTTGGCTTCAAAGTCGCATGCTACGTATTTTTGAACCGTTCGTCTACAGTGTTACTAGTTTAATACGAAATTTTATTCGTTTCACGTACAAAAAATAGAAACCTGTAACTACCGCAATGAAAAGGGAACATTAAATTCTCAGTAAATGATACAATTTTTGCCTTTGCCTTTTTTTTTTTTGTTTTAAACTTTCATGGTCACTAACATTATAGCTATTAAGTAAGTCAATTACTTCAGTTACTCCGTGATCATGGCGCTTGCAACAGTGCCGAAATATCGGAGACTCATAAAAAACAAGGTACATGGTAACAATCCCGTTAATAGCTATAATTGCCTTTTTTTGTTAGAAAAGTTTAAAACGTCAAGCAAAACGCCATTTTTTTCTTTAAGTCTGAAGTATGGATCCATGATACAGAAATCGATTTTCATGACGGGTCTCGGGTGGGGTAGGCATAGGGAATTAATAGGCCGCAATTAAGAGGGGAGTAGGGTGATATTTTTTTAAACAAACGTTCTCGACTGAATCCTGTATTATGATTTTTATCACTAAAGAATTAATTGTCATACATAAAATACAATTTAGCTTATTCTATGTCTTCCTTTTTTGATAACGTTTGATAAAGTTTCGAAGAAACTAGCCCTCGAAAAAGGGCCAAAAATAAACAAATTTTTATCACCATTAAAGACTAATGTTGAGATTTATTAAGCATTTACAAACAAATCAAAACATAGGGGCATAGCATGACTATTTATTATTCTTTGTGGTAATTTTCTTTTACATATATCAAATTTTCAAGGAGGAAATCGTCGACAGCCAAACCTCGAATTTTGCTATTTATATACGCAATTTTCAGCGTCAACTACTGTTAGCCCTATCGTACGGTATTTTCCAAAGCATGGAAGTAATAGTTTTTTCAAACACCTATTTCTCAAAAGTCTCTCAGCTCGCGTCCGACCTTAAATTAGCATTTTTTTTTACTTTTGATTTTTGTTGTCTCTTGCTTATCGTATTTAATCCCCTTTACTTCACTCCTTTTATTGCTTTCACACGATCCTTATCTTCTGTTTCGTAGTTCCTAAAATTCAAGTACATCAATAAGTATTAAATTCCTACATCATTTAGGAACTGATCAATTTTAGCGGCCTTGTCAGTAAAATGACATTTAGGTTGTCGTGACTAGAGATAATGATTACTGCGCCTCATCGATAAGTGACTATCGATAAAAATATGATTATTAACTTGATACACATCGAAAAACCAAAAGTCCCAATCCCACTTTGTGTTGGTGTTAATTTCCAAGGATATTAAAAACTCTAGATACAACGTTATGATCAAAATCGTGTCCGAAAACTGTCCTAATATTAGATGATAGCCAAAAACAATATAGGGCATTATTTAAATCGTTATTCAAAGTCATATTAATACATAGGGGACAGGATATAAGGTCTAATAACAACACATTTTGTAATTCAAACTCGTATTTTACGATTTGTCGTAAAGTTTGATTTGTGGATTGTTGCAGGAGAATACGCGGGTTTCGATGAGAACGAGCCTACGTCCAGGTCGGGGGGTAAAGGTCTGGTAGTGAGAAGGTTGAAGGAAGCCCACGGCTATCAGCGGCTCATCATGGTCGGAGACGGCGCCACAGATGCGGAGGCGAGCCCGCCAGCGGACGGGTTCATTGGTCAGTGTGCTTTGAAATACTTTGACTATTAGTTAGCCTTGATAATACAGTCATTTGGTAGTTTTACCTGGAAAGTTTTCCGGCAGTTTTGAAAATTGGTAATTTATAGATTTTGAGGTGCTCTTTTCGAATTTCGACTTTGCCACCTCGTATTTTTAACGCTTGCGCAGCCATATTGGAAAAATGGCGCCTTAAAGCAGTTTTAAATGACAATATCTCCTTTCCGACTCATTTTACGATAAAAACAGCTAAATACAAAATTAAACTAGAGACAATTGCCTACAATTTATGTATCCACCTTTTTTTTCATAAAGTCAATAATTTTGTCGTACGAGAGCCGCAAAGTGTACTGTATTATATATAAGTATTGTTCTGAAAGTTATAGATTACTTATGGTATTTAATTTATTTACAGGTTTTGGTGGCAATGTAGTACGCGAAGAAGTGAGGAAGAGGGCATCATGGTACGTGACCGATTTCCAAGAGCTGACTCACTCGCTCTCCATTCAGTCCAAATAAACGTCAAATATAGTAAAAAACATGCAGTAATGAACTCTATTGTATGGATAATAAAGATCTGCAACCGCTCGCTGGCGAGTATAACAGTTGCCACTTCTAACTTTTAGTACCTTGCCAGTAGAGTTATTTTGACCTGTATTGGAAGATTAGTTTAAATTATAGCTATTAGCGGGATTGTTATCATGTACCTTGTTTACTATGAGTCTCCGATATTTCGGCACTGTTGCAAGCGCCATGGTCACCGAGTAACTGACTGGTACACGGTAACAATCCCGAGAGCTATAATGTTAGTGACAATGAAATTTTAAAACTTTGAATTAGTTTAAATTGTTTGACATTTCCATGTGACATTGTATTTTGCATGTTAGTGTCAAAATTTGTCTGCAGAGTCAGACGTGTAGCTTTGTGTTTTTGTAGTAGTAGCGTTTTCTACTCAGTGCAGTTTGAAATTAATGGAAAAGTGTTGCCGTGCAACAATTAACAATAATAGCATTAAATTTTAGGAAAATTATGTAAATATCGAAATTTGTTATTTGATGGATATTAGTTTTGGGAGTGATTGGGTGGTATTGGTTCTTTACGTATGATCGCGGGAGTTGGCAAAGATCTTTAGTGCGTTAATTGCTTGAGCTCTTCTCTAATAGTAGTTATAAACTCTACGAACTGACATGATCTAGTGCAAGTGATTTACGCGCTTAAGGTTCGATCATAAGTGCGTTAATTGCTTGAGTTCTTTTCTAACAGTAGTTAAAAGCAACCAACTATCATGATCTAGTGCAAGCGATTTACACCCTTAAGGTTCAAATGCCAACTTCTTCGGTTATTGTGTCCAAGAACACGATAACTTAGATCGAACTGAGCTCAGGCAGCATTATAAATAAATATTTGTTTAGTATTTTTTGATGCCATGTCTAGCTATTCGTGTTTGTTATTTGTCATTTTGACAGCAAATTGTCCCTATTGCCCTCTTTAAAGAATGAAAAGAAGAAACTATTGTCAAGTTTACAAAAAGCAAGTACGAATAGGCAAGTGAAGTGTTAGTATGACAACAAATACTGTTATGTATTTTTTCAAGATGCTATTATAAAATGTGATATTGAATTGCTGTGTTGAAATAGGTTTAAGAACAAAATTTTGTTTTAATATTAGTATAAAATAATACATAGTTAATGTCATTACAAAATTAAGAGTAACTGCCATAATTTCGTGCACAATATTCGTGCATGAATTGTATTACATTGTGCCTTTGTATTTGAATTAAAAAAATAAATACCGAATATTGACGTTGTTAAGGTACTATGAGTACAAGATATTATTTCGAATTGTTTTCAGAACATAGTTCTGCCTTATTTTTGGGAGAAATTTACAATGTTAGTTAGAGTAATGCGGTTATATATAAAATGTAATGACTTTTATATAAATAGGATAATAAATTTTATAAGATATTGTTTTAGGTGTAAGGAATTAATTTTGTGTTTATTAATGCTATCATTGTATATTTCTTTGGACAGTAAAAATCTATTAGTAATCAATTGGTAAATTATTATTTTACGTGTGTATGCTATATTAGACATGATTTCGTGTTAATTTAGTATCCAAATGGCTGTGTACTTCGTAAATGTAAGTCGTAATTAATAAATAGCATTTAACAAAATTTTTCTTTTTACTTATTTGCCTAATGATTTTCCCAGCTTTTTATGCAAGTTAACAAAACGGAAAGTGTTAATATTTCAAAACAAATATCATCCGAATTTCCGCCTTCTATAGATTTTCCAACTTTATCACAATCGTATAAAAACCGTCGTTAGCCAGAGGCCTTTTGCACTTAAGAGATTTTCTAAGAAATTTGTCGGACAGGTTGTTATATGATACCGTTCATATTAGGTAACTACAAGCTGGAGAGCTGGCTGGAGCGCCTCAGGAACCCTTCGTAGTGGATTAGAACGATTGAGTCACTCCGACTAGCTTTCGGGGACTGGATAAACAGGTCTAGGGGTCATTAACCTTTCGACTGGTGCAGGTGCTTTCCGGGCATGAATGCTTCGGGAAATACCTGCATTAGATCCAAAGGGAAACAGACCATTCGTGCCATGAGTGCGGCGATGCCGAATACATAGCTCAGCACACCGTCGAGGTGTGCCCGGCGTGGACTCGGTAGTGCGGCACTCTACAACGCGATCGTGGGGATGGACAGCTCGCTGCCCAGCATGGCTTTCACCATGCTGGGTATAAGTCCTGGCAGGCGGCGGTCTCCTGTGAGAAGGTTATCTCACAGAAGGAGGTTGCGGAGAGAGCGCGAGGCTCAAGCACTGGCGGGCTCCCTCCATAGCAGATTCGAGTAGGAGAAGGGGCAGACGTAGACTGGCACATCTTCTGCTACTTATAGAGGGGAGAGCCTTTATTCAGGCAAAGGGAGGACTACGATAAGGTGCTTTTGAGGACCCGGGTAGGAGCGTCTATCCCAGTGGTCGCAATCTTACAGATCGCGGCCGCTGGGGCATATGCTCAGAAGGCCCTCCATAGGGCTAAATCTTCCCACCCTTTGAGCGGAACGGAGAGAACTACGCTCTGCCTCCCACTCCTACGGTTTGATGTCCCTGATGCTTCGGGGCATCGTCATCGGGTAGGGTCTCCTTGCGGACAATCACCTGCGAGTGCGTGGCCAGTCGGAAACGGTTGCCGCGACCGCACCCGTACTCCAGGCACGCATAGGGGGGACCTACGTGACCGGTGCAGGAATATTATCTGGTTTTCACTGGCCCTGTTCTGTTCAGGGCATTAGGTAGGGTCCTGCTCATTTCATCGACCCCAGTGCTGGATGAAAGGAGCAGGGAGTAGTCCCAGATACCATCATCTCGCTCCCTCGGTAGTTGAAGGATGCGTAAGGCATTTTCTGGACATATAAAAGGTTACTATATACACAATTACAAGCTAATGTTCTTACGTCGGATGATATGTATGTATGTACACCTATATAATATGTTTAAGAAATCAAAGCGAACTTAAAGACAGGCGAATTGGCTGACTTTGTTTTATAATAGTGTAAGAATTGTTGTTGTTGTACTCAGTTGTAGTTATTTCGAGCCACAGGTGGAAAAATAAATTGAACTTGCGCTTGGGAATATATGGGTAAATTGCACGGGTAAATTGATGCTGCAGCTGGACTGACGACAGATACGATATCAAGAACGCCTTACGTACATAATGATATTGACACTAAAAAGAATAATAAATCAATAAAATATGCTTTCGTTAAAGAAAATACACCAAACAAAATTGCCTTTAACAATATTTACAGCAAAGTTACAATCAGTATATTTGCAAAAGTGATGCTCTACGATTTAGGAACTAAACAAGTTGCAGGCTAGTGCAGACAGACCGAGCTGCACCCAGGGGCGTATTTTAAAACCTGGCGCACGGGACAACTTACGATATGCACATAGTAATTCAAATGACAATTTCAGTCAGTAACATTTGCTATAATAAGGCTTTTGCCGCCATTCAAAGCAAAGTTCTAGTTAAATAAAGGAACTTCTGTATTATTTTTTTTGCACATAGCTTAAAAATGTCTGCGAAATATCTAGAATAAAATTTTTATTTCACAAAATTTAAAATTGGTGAATTTTTATGTTTATGGGACACCAAATTAACAAATTATCATCATAGCGCATAGAACATGGCATACTCTCTAAAACTGACCATAAATTAAAATTCCAGCGGATTAACATCTAGCCCCAGATGACGGCCAGCCTTCAGCTCTGATGAAGTCAAAAACTTTTGTTTCCAACCCCTCTTTCCAACCATGCTTGGGTGGTTCGAGCTTCATATAAATAAAATCCCGTCTTAATATTTTTGTCTATGTCTTCCCGTTGCGTACTGCATAAGAAGTTGTTTTGATATTAACACCTTATTCATTTTTTGGATTGATTTCAGATTGTCTTGGTTGCACTGTGACTAACCATCATCGTCAGGTGTGTCAGAGGGTCGAAGGAACCCTCCTCGACCGCACCTCACACACACCGCGGAACGTTGAACTAACTCGTGACAACGCAGCAGCATGCAGCCGGTGTTCATCGCTTTATAAGACTTTATCACGTCAAATGGGCGATCGAAGCAGTGACGGAAACAAATTCGAAGAAATCCTGTCCGAAAGCAAAAGATCATTCGCGAAATGGCAATTTTTTTTTGTAACTTTTCTTTAGCGATAAAAATGTTTTTAGTGTCAGTCTAAACGAAATTTTCATAAAAATAGTGTCGGTAAAAAGGGTTTTTGGGTGGCCTAAAAGTAAAAATCCTAAATTTTATTCAATTGACTTCCAAGAATTAGGATATAACATTCCTCGCGGTCCTTCCTGCGCACGTCTGCGGGGTCCCCGCGATAACCCGGGAGACCCCTGCCGTGGGGCCCCGGCTAGGTCGGGAGGCTGCTGGGTGCGGAAACGCGGAAGAATCCCTAAACGGGGATCCCGTGGCTTCGCACTAAGCAGCTTAGAGGGTGTTCGCATGGATTTTTAGCGGATATTATGCCGTAAAGCGCCCGTAAGAGTTACGGGGTCCTCAGTGGGCAGACACTTGCGGGAGCCAGGTGTGAGGTCCGTTCGGCGGTGTGCCTCTTAAAGACGCCGTCTCGTCTGTAAACAGAGGTTTTGCTTGTGTTACCAAAAAAAAGGATATAACATTCATACTGTTAATTATTATTGTTATTCAAATATTGCTTCTTTAGTTGCAATTTTAATCGTCAGTTAGTGAATACAACCTCCATTAATGCATTTTTTGAGCAAATGTGTTGAAAAAGTTTTAAACCGACTGAATTCTCATCTACCCACCTTTTTCTTTATAAAATAAAAGTTTGTCATTTGTAAATGGCATTATACGACCTTCCGGCGTTCTAACATTGCCAAACTTCCCTTTGTCCAAAAATACGTAAAAAAATGTTAAACGCAAAGAAAAATAAATTTTATAAAAGTAGTGATGCGTTAAAACCTAAAAAATATGCTGATCTGTTTCAATCACACTGACCAATCTAGAATATTGATCATACTAAAATAAAATCGTGGGGTTTAACAAAACCTGAGTATCTATCTGTCATAGGTGTACATACATCTGTATCTGTCACCGACAATCTGTATAATTGTATTCTATACAATACCTAGGCAAGCTACGTAGGCTAGGTATAAAATGAATAATATTTCATACATTGAGGGTGTTTATGAAAATTTACGTCACCAGTTGGCGCCACTGTTACGTGAGGTCTTTTGTATGAAGTTTTTAACGCCAACTCCATAGACCAGATACATAGACTATGAGATTGTATGCGATTTGACGGATGATTCGACCTTTCGTCTCAGTACTGCCACCTGCTCCCTGTCATTCCAAAAAACCCTCTTTCCTTGACGTTTTTGGAAATCTATGCATTGCCTAGGTATTGTTTAGATTGCCGGTAACATATGCACAGAATACAATTGTAAATACTTATAGGTACGATGCGCAGCAAATTTTCTAACGCAACCTGATGTTCAGTGTGAGTGGACCGATTCTTCGATATATTTTAAAGTTTTTGACCATCTCGTTTACTTTGCATACGGCGGCATTTTCCTTTAGTGATCCGTCTGTAATCTTCTTTTAAAACAGATGTCGGTTGAACGCCTTTTTTTCTTAGGTCTACACAGCCTTTTCCTTAGGTCTACGCAGTACACACACATATGTTTTGCTCATACTAAAGCACGTCACTTTACATACCATCAGCATAAATTCTCTGTCCTACTTGTTTTTGCTCTTACAAATGAGAACACAGAGTATTTAATTTCAGTATCTCTATACTGATATGCAGTATGCTCTCCATCTACAAGAGCACATTGCGTGCGATTTCAGAGCAACCCCTGTCTATGGTAGTACTACAATATGTGTCATAATGTGTACACATTATGACAATACTCTGCAATACGCTGCATATGGATCTCAAGTCTGTTATTTTACTAACGTCAAAATGGAGTGTCGATAGTGAATTT